CATCACCATAGATTGGTTTATTCTACAGATGGAGTACATTATATTCTTTATTCTCTCAGGTTGGGTGGCTTGTTTTATTACGAATGGCGGCTGGTGCGGGGTATATTAAATTGTAAAGAGCATTTCCAATGCTATTTATTGAAAAACCAGTGAAGCTAGAAATACAAAACTTTGATGAAAAAGTAATTGAAAAGTTTATTTCGGTGAAAAACAGAAGAATGGACTCTCACTATACAAAATAAAGTTGAGCACTTTTCCCTATATTTCAATAGTACTTAAAATAAAACTGACCATTGATTTCTTTTTCAATACTTTGTACCTAAATATTTCCGCTCCTCTCTAGTATGTAAGTCAAGAGCCACCACTGAATATTTTTGAGGCTTTGGGGACATTTTTTCGAAAACTGTGCATGCTGTTGTTATTGTTATAGGCTATTGATTATATTAAAAAAAAACAGGGTTACAAGGAACTATGATGTTCAAGCAATTTTGTTGCATGAATCAATTCAAAGGGTCATTTTAGATGAAAAAACCGCGGAGTGATATTAAATTAGAGGGTGGAAATTGGAGATAGAGGTGAAAATGCACCCCTTTCAGTTTTTTAATTGTAGCTCGAAAACGAAGCAAAATTTCGCTATAGTTCATAGGAAAAATTATTTAGAGAATTGAATTTCACATGGAAATAGCTCATTTAAAAAATTTAAAAGGAATATTTTATGCAAAAAATCGTTATTACTTTTTTGCCTCTTGTATTTTTTTTGTTTAGCTTTATATGTTTTAATTCTCATTTTTTGCAAAAAAGGAAGGAAATAAGACGTTCAAGGATTTTCATCCCATGACTTGTTCGAAGGGTCATTAAAAATGAAAAAACCGCGGAATGCTATTAAATTAGAGGGTTGAAATTGAAGATAGGGGCGAAAAAGCACTTTTGCAGTTTTTTAAATATAGCACGAAAACGAAGCAAAATTTCGGTATAGTTCATAGAAAAAATTTTGTAGAGAATTGAATTTTCTATCGATGTGGCTTATTTAAAAAATTTAAAAAATTTGAAAAATCCCTCATAGTCGTTCATAGTTCATACAGTTGTGAAAAATCTTCATTTATTTTTAACAAATAAAACTTTTGAAATATTTTTTTATGAAGTAAAGAATCAATTCATTGTAAAAATAATAAGAATTATAATAATCATTATTATGTTAAAAACGACGAAAATCTAAAAAATATTTAAGTTTGACAGATACCTACTCAATATTAGTCCAAAAATTTTTGAAAACGAATCAATTTGAAGGAAATCTCGTCTGTTTTTTTTGTACAGCAATTTTCTTTGCTTACTTCTACTAAAAAACAAATTAGAGTCAAAAAAATCAAAAAATGTTATTTCGATGGGAAATTCAACTCTCTAAATAATTTTTCCTATGAACTATAGCGAAATTTTGCTTCGTTTTCGAGCTACAATTAAAAAACTGAAAGAGGTTCATTTTCACCCCTATCTCCAATTTCCACCCTCTAATTTAACAACACTCCGCGGTTTTTTCATCTAAAATGACTATTTGAACGATTCATGTAATAAAATATCTTGAACGTCATAGTTTCTTTTAAAATCTTATATTCAATAGCCTATTATGTCGGACCCGCTGAACACGATTCTAAAGTCAGTTTTATTTAGATTCGTGTTCAGCGGATCCATAATCATAACAATAACAGGACCAGATCAAAAGAGCATACCACATTCGTTTATACTTTATCCCTGTTTTATATGGCTTAGCAGTGTAACCATTCTGATAATGAGTGGAAAATACTTTTAAATTATAGATCCGCTTAAAGTGAAATATAATATTTTTAACTAAATCTCGTCTTCCTTGAAGTTGCTTTAGGGTTAGCTGCCACCCACGCATCCACTCTAGCGACTTCAATTTGGCCGTAAGGAAAGTACACAACATAATAAACAACTCCGTTCACATAACAATTTGTGCCGAACACGTTTGATTAAACATCTTATACGCCCGGCTGGTATCAAGCAAATTTTAATATCTTGCTTGGGGGATGTAACCCCGTCCTCGAGAAATAATTTTCTAATTTTAGCGACGTCGTGTCTCTCCTTAACAGGAACTTTTAACAGAATTTAATATATTTGTCATTGCTTCTCTGCAGTAGGTATTATATTTAATCTATGTACTTAATACTTGTATATTAACAAATACCTTCCGACATTTTATACTTAAAAACATACCTGAAAGTTTAGTGCCCCTGTAAATTTCGTTAACTCTGTTCTCTTCTAATATATACGGAGTGCTTTTTAGCAATGGAACACGACTTAAAAGTGGGAGATTTCTGAAGTAAAATGACGGCGATTTTCGAGATAATTACAATTTTCTATATCTTTTCGATAAAGACATTAGTACAAAAGTTAATTAGTGGGCTTTGATATACAATGTACGTTCCAAAGTAAACAGGACTTTTCAAAAATGAGTATTTCTAGTTAGACTACGCGGTATCTGTTTTGGTTTGGGTGAATCGTATATCCACGAGAGATTTTTGGCTTTTTGGCTTTCAAATATCACTAGAAATGAAAATTTTTCTATGCACATAAAAAAAATGTGGGCTTAACTTTTGCACAATATGTTAAGAAAATTAGAAAAATGTCATATTTTTCTTCCTATTTAATTATGTATCTTTTCAAGAGTTGATTTTAGGCGAAAATGGAAGAGGAAAAAAATGTTTGCAATTAAATTTTTTACAAAACATGTCTAGTTAAAAATCGAATGAATCATGATTATTATGGTAAAAATCGAAAAAATCGCAAAAATGGGGTTAAAAAACAATACTTTTTAAGGAATTTTTTTGGGGTACTTAAATTGGGTATAGAACCTTTATACTTGGCTCAAGAAAACTTCATGTTATGTAGAATCTTCACACCAAATAATTTTGCAATCCAGAATTTGAAAAAAAATTGCAAATTTTCAAAATTTTGCACAGCAAAAACCAAGGCCCTTAGATACTTGAAAATTTAATCACATATAGAAGGGCTCTCAAGCTTTCAAACTTCAAAATTCGAATCCGTCAATTAGGAGAGCTCTGGCCCTTGTTTAAACATTGGTCGAATTTTTGTACTTATAAACAATAATTAGAATAACTTTGTGAATATTCAATCATATCAAATTTTTTAAACCAGGTTTTAAAAGTTTTTGGAAATACGCTTCTTTAAAAAAAAACAGATCGATTGATCAATTAGTTACGTAATTATAGCCGATCAAAGTTAACCGTCATTTACACTAATTGTACTGGGACATCCGGGCAAATTTTTCCAAAATTTTTTTTGGTATTCCGAGTACTTACCAGGTCTAAGATTACAATACTTTTCTTAATTGGCAACCTACTTTAAAACGTGTTTAAAGTTATTTATGCAAGCGAGAAATTCAAGAAAATCGTACGGGTTGTGGTGATGGGGGAAGCAGAGAGCGCGGTCGCTTCGGCCTGCTCGAAATTGAATCGGCGAGTTCAAAACCGTGATGCGTTTAAAAATTTTTAATATCTCACCTTCTAGAGGTCCGATTTTGATGATTTTTTTTTCAATTTTAGTGTATTTTCAAATGCCTACCGTTAATAATTATTGGTCTTTCAACAGTCCGATAATTATTTATCTTTAAACTTCCTTTACTTATCAACTTTATTTTTCTATTGTATCAAAGGTAAGTGCATAAACTTATATACTGTTTATCAAAGATCAAAAACAAATTTATGTAAATATTCTGAAATTGATTAAACAACAATTATTTTCAAAATATGACGAAAATTAGTAATAGAATGAGTTCATTTCTCATTTGGTTATATTTTAAACAATAAATAATATTTGAATTACACTTTAATCACAGAAAAAAGTAATATTAAAAAAGGAACCTTTCTTTCATTTCAATATATTATTTCGTATTCGAAAAATACGACCTTGAAAAAAATAGATACCCGTACATGCCGTTAGGAAAGGAGTCTCTACAACATACATATACAGTGTTATTTTTTTAAAACCTGACAGGCCAACTTTTTTATTTGAAGTAATATACTAGTACTTCCAAATGCAAAGTTGTAGGAAATATCTTGATTAAGAATAATTTATAAATAATTTTTTCTGGTGTTGCCATTTAAAAAAATATCGTTTTAGTAGCTACTGCAGAAATCTGGCAACACCGGAAATAATGATTTGTAATTTTTTTTTAAAAGAAGCGTCTTTCCAAGAACTTTTAAAACCTGCTTTAAAACATTTGATTTGATTGAATATTCACAAAGTTATTCTAATTGTTTAGAAGTACAAAAATTCGACAAACAAGCGCCAGAGCTCTCCTAATTGATGGATTTGAATTTTTCAAAAAAAGTTTGTAAGCTTGAAAGCCCTTCTATATGTGATTAAATTTTCAAGTATCTAAGGGGCTTGGATTTTGCTGTGCAAAATTTTGAAAATTTATAATTTTTTTTTTCGAAATTTGTATTGCAAAATTATTATGCAAAATCTATTGAACCGATCTTGATAAAAATTGGTGTGAAAATTCTACATAACACGAAGTTATTTTGAGCCATGTATAAAGGTCCTATACCAAATTTAAATACCCCAAAAAAAATCCCTAAAAAGTATTGTTTTTTAACCCCATTTTTGCAATTTTTTCGATTTTTACCATAACAATCATGATTCATTCGATTTGTAACTAGTCACATTTTGTAAAAGATTTAATTACAAACATTTTTTTCCTCTTCCATTTTCGCCTAAAATCAACTCTTGAAAAGATACATAATTAAATAAGAAGAAAAATGTGACATTTTTCTAATTATTTTAACATATTGTGCCGCCAAAAGTTAAGCCCACGTTTTTTTTTATGCGCATAGAAAAATTTTCATTTCTAGTGACATTTGAAAGCCAAAAGGCCAAAAATCTCCGTGGATATACGATTCACTAAAATATGGCTTTTTGAAACAGATACCGTCTGGACAAATCCTGAAACATACGATACTTACAAACAACATTGAGTTTGAAGGAATCCTCTAACCCTACTCCGGTCAGCTTGGGGTTTTCACCGACACATTTAAAAATACTTCCATCGTCTTCCGGAACCGGCACAAACGTAATCGTGCTTATTACAGAAGTGTCGTTGCCCTCCTCGAGGACCTGTAAATAATTAACAGATATGAATTAGTTAAACGAGAAGTGGCGTCGTCGATAATTATCGGGCTCTTAATCTAATTAATTAATCGATTTTAATATGCATCAGTTAATGCAATGCTTGCTTGTGAATTCAATATAATTTGTCTCAAGAATTTGTAATTACAGCTGAAGTTTCCGAAGTTGTAATTAACTCTCAGTACAGCTCTCAATAGAACTTGATTTCTTTTTAAATCTAAGGAGCTTATTTTCCTGAAAGCACTTCTTCAAAAATTAAAATTGTTAATAGATGACAATATTCTGACCCGTTTTCCTTTGAACGAAACCATTTTCGAGCCTTCTGCTGATCGATAGCATATTGAATTCCCTGGCCAAATTGCTCTCTACATGTTTCATAGGATTTATGACCGCTGCAGTGCATTGTTCTATACTCTCCAAAGTACGATAAGGTTTTATATTGAAGGTATAGCAGGGTAAGTCGAGAAGAGACACTTTCGAAAAAACAAAATATGTATTCTTTGCTAAAAAACGCAAAACTGTATACAAATAATAAGGACGTAATTGACTATTTGCACAATAATATAATCAACCAGCTAATTATAGGTTGAAAAGATAATACAATGAACAAAAATACAATAATGCAAGGTATATTAAATATATTATATTAACATTTTTATTAGAACATAAAAGTAATGTAATTTACACTAGCTACAATTTTTTTCTAATGCCTTCTTCAGTAGAATGATATATGTCAAGGATATTCTGCAGGAAGATGAAATGTAATTCTAGATCTTGCTTCAATTCTAGATACTTGGATGGATAATCATATCATAATCAGAAAATAACAAAGATCTTTACTTACAACAGTCAACTGAGTTGATTAATGAACATCTTCCGAGTAGATCGTTTTGAGATATTCCTAGGAAGGCAATTACCTATGTAGTTTATAGAAAAGATGTTTTAGAAATCTTACTTTTTCTATACCTACATTGATTGTAGCTGTTATATTCTGGATGCCAAATTAATCTGACATATTCAGCTTTAGGCTTTATAAAAGAATTAAAAACGGTTAATTTGTGATCAAAAGTCACATCCAGATCACAAAGGTATTCTCGACAAGTAAAGGATGATCCATTCTGTAAATAGTCACATTTAGGATATCTCTTGATGATAGGTGTTGAGGAATGATTACCAATCTTTCTCCACCGATCTGTGAAAAAGCTCTTTAATAGTTTTCGCTGACAATCCCGTTCGTGGATCAGGGTGGTTTTGGGTTTTGGGGATTAGACAGTTGTTGTCAAAAAGAAAACAATTTATGAATTAATATGTTCGTTCAGCAAAAATCCTTTTAATTTGTTCTTCATCACATTGTATCTGTGCCTATGCGTTAAAATACAGTTGTTCAGTGATCTACGTCTGAGTTTTATTGAGATAAATTGAAGATTACCTAACCATACAAGGAAAATTACAGTCCACAAAATACCGAAGGATTTACGAAAGAAACCGGCCGTAAGGACACAGTGGTTTCCCAAATAATAGGAAACCATAGATTTGTTCCCAGTGAATTAGAAACATTTGATTCAAAATAATGAACTTTGAACATTATTCAAGGCATAATATCGGAATCTGCATGCGTCTGACTGTTGAAAATTTTCTTGGATAACTCTAAGAATAAAGCTATTATGACACTTATCAATATTAGGCAAAAGTTTGTTTTTGACGCACCATTCTTGGATTTTGAATAATGTAAATCCATCTCTCCCCCGTTCAACTAGTCTAACTATCCTAGGAACAGAGGGTAGTTAGATTATCATATTACATTTAAATAATCATAGAATTTCATTTAGCACTGTTTTGCCTCAAAGTTAACCGGTATAGGATCCACCTCGCTCTATTGCGAAGTACCGTCGTGGTTAAGATTTATTAAAACAGCTCCGGTCAATTATTATGCTTCTAAAGTTTGTTGTGGACAAGAAAATATGTCCTTAGATAGGTACAAATAAATTTTAGTCGAAAGATGAAGCTGTACATTCAACAAACAATATAACGACGCCCAAATTTAAAATCAAAATTGAACCACTGTAATTTGTCTGTCAACCAGAACCAGAACTGGCATTACATACAGGGTGTGAGGTGTATAATCTATAAAAGTACGAAAAAGTTCTATTTTTGCGTTTTTTTTTTTTGTAAAATAAAGTTCAATTATGGATCCAAATATTTTCTCTGGAACGGTCCTGTCCGTGTGCTGTACGATGAGTTACGTGTTGTAGACCAGCCACGGAAACAAATCGTCGTTGAAAGATAGAAAGATACTTCTCAATTTTTGGGGAATTTTTCAATGCAAAAGTACAAACTAAGAAAAATAGATATTTAAAAAATCTGATATTTTCTTATTATAATAACTAATAGTAATAACTATATTAAATGCATTGTTATTACTACAAGAGTGTGCAAACAAAAAACATTAAAACATGGAACAAAATGAAATAAAACTTACCACTTCTAGAGAAAATGTTGAAATTGATCCCCATTAGCGCGGATACAGGCATGGCACCGACGCACTCAATTTTGGCGAATATTTTCCCAAATTCCAGGTATTCCCCTAATTGTCTCAGCAGCTTCAAGTATACGGTTTCGCAATTCTTCCACCGTAGCAATTGGAATATTGTAAACCAATGACTTCAAGTGACTCCAAAGATAAAAGTTCATTGGAGTTAGATCGGGTGACCGAAGTGGCCACGGCATCGGCATCGGCATAGTGTCCAATCCATCGTTAAGGAAACATTTCATTCAAAAGTATCGTTACTTCTCGAGTAGTGTGTGGAGGAGCCCCATCTTGAACATAAAACATGCGTGCCCGAACTTGTAATGCCACATCGTCCAATAATTCAGGCAACCGGTTCTCCAAAAAATCAGCATATGTTGGTCCATTTAATCGTCCTTCAAATAAATAGGGATCCACAAGTACATCGGCTATTATGGCAGCCCAAATATTTACCGAGAACCGATGTTGAAAATGAGTTTCCCTAATCGCGTGAGGATTTTCATCGGCCCTTATGTGCATATTATGGAAATTTACTTCATTACGTGTAAATGTCGCCTCATCTGTTATACAAAATAAGTAGAAAAGTGTATTTGATTGACACATTGGCGTAAAAACCATCTGCAAAAATGCATTCATTGATCACAATCCTGGGGTAAAATTTGTTGAGCTGGTTGCAGATGATAGGGGTGCAAGCGCCTTAAGATGCGTTGTACGGTACGAGATAAGGTTGCTACTTGCTGTGTGAGTCGTCGAGTACTAATTGTGGGGTCTTCGTCAAGATTTTCCAACACTGCATCTTCAACATTAAGGTTCACTTGCTGACCATGTCCTTCTCCTTGAGGTATAACACTTCCCATATCTCGCAGCCACTGAACACACTGTACGATTATGTTTGCACAAGGGTGTGACGTTGTGGACATCGTTCCCGGTACAACCTAGTCGCCACGAACACATTTTCTCCGGCTGCACCATACACTAACACCATATCGATACGTCGACGACTAAAGTAAAAAGGAGTGAAACAAAGATGTTATTGTTTTCAGTGACGCGTATAACTATTAATACATTATTGTTAAAGCAGTATATCTCTCTTATCCATCCAACTCTACTCGATTTACCCCACCATTTTAAAGATCTCATGAATCTGTTATGGCCAGCAGTTACTATTATTTGTTATGAAACGTCTTTTAATTAAATACACTTTGCATTCAGATGTCCGACGTGGAATCGCCGCAAGCCCGGCCTACATAGAAAAAGTGAAATGTAATTACCTTCCCCCTTCTAAAGGGCCTATTATCTCTCGTCCAAGTTATTACGGCTTTCGGTCGTGACCCTGTCACTTCGCATTGAACAGAAATGTCCTCGTTCGCCACCAGCTGCTTGGGCTTGCTGGTAATGATCACGCTGAGTGGTCGTACTGGAAAATAAGGAAATGGAGGCAACATTAAAAATATTATTATTGCAGGCGGTGTTCCATAACTCCCGCACATTTTCGAACATCCAGAATTCAAAACTTCAGGGAATATATTTTTAAATTAACTTTCTTTGTTTGGGCGCGTCATTATTGCTCTTTTTCCGAATAAATGCAGGAAAAAGTCATTAAATTAAAAGAATGATGTACCTAATATCTAAGGTCCGTGGATGAATCGTGAATGACATAAAAGCCAGTGGTGTATTTAGGATAATACATTAAAACACAAAAATTATAAATAACAGAGTAATACAGCCCTGAAAACTGACGGAATTATTATAAAACAATGAAATAAAACAATTTTTTAAGGTCCATAATTTTTTAGACAAAACATTTTGGTACGTTGCTTTGTCTTGATCCGAGGAATTTCATTTCCTCATGTCATATGACTTACCCTGTATAAGTACAAAATATATGAAATACAGAACGACTTCGTAAAAAATATAGTTGAAGTATAGTTTGTCTATTTCTTACTTTCGTTATATGATTTTAAACAATGTTGTGGATAGAAAAATGATGTTCTTTGTAAAAGCAAGATATTAGTTTTCAATAACAATTAAATACCTATCTAAATGAACATGCCATAAAATGCAAAAATTGGGAAATTAAAAAAAATAGTTCAAATAATCAACATAATTCAAACATTATTTAGTTTGTGAATACCAAACAAATCAACTAGGTGTTCTTTTGTTTTCCTTTTTCATCTGTGACATGTATATTACGTAGGTATATGTATAATGTACCCACATAATGCATAAAAACGTATGTACTTGCAATAATTGAGATATTTATACGCAATCGGTTAATTAATCCGAATATGTATTCTGATTCCGTGTTATTCGAAAATCAAAATAACCCCTAGTCTCTCTGACTGGAGGGGGGAATGGTAACACGACACTTTGTCTTTAGTTATGTTCTTGTTTCGCTCGCTGGTGTTGTAAAAATGTTACTAAGTTTCTGCGAAAATTTATATTTTTCATAATGCTGTAGGAAAACAAAGAACGACCCAGAAATGTACGGTTAACTCACGCACCTTAGTAATAACTTTGTTACTATTGTGCAAAACTGATAAAAACTTATCTTATCAACTTCGACGTCACCTGTTACATAGGTGTTGTATAACAATGAAAAAGTAATATTAATGGTCGATAGAAGGAAGCCCAAAAAACAGGCACTTAGGTAGGAAATTCTGGAAGGAAGCCTAAGTTAGTTGAAGATAGTTAGTTGAAATGAGAACAGGGTGGAAATCGGTAGTAAGACGATCGACGGGCAGTGTGTCAAAGTAGTGAAAAGTTAATTGTTTAAAGTGTTATTAGTTAACAGGTAATATTCTTTAAGTACTTTATTGTTAATTGTTCTATGTGATCTTATGATTGTGATGTTTATAGATGTTTCATGATAATAATTCTTTGTATGTTTAGCTTCCATTGCTTTATGCTCAAGGGCATATATTTTTACAAGGTAAAATTGTTATAATTATACTTAAAGTTTGCCCATTATTTATTTCATGTTAAAATATACATATCTTGTCGTAATTGCCAGACATTACCATAACAACTCCTTTGTTTCACATCTAACTTGTTTTTGTTATGATTACGTTGTTCGAAAAACCTAGATGTTTCATGATAATAATTCTGTATATGTTTAGCCTTCATTGTCTTACGCTCAGGGGAGTGTATTTTCCTAATATAAAATTGTCACAATTATTATTAAAGATTGCTCATTATTTATTACATGCTAAAATATGTATATATTGTCGTGTCTGCCCAGATATTGCAAAACAACTTCTTCGTTTCACATTTAACTTGTTTTATCTTGATTACGTTGTTCTTTGATTTCTTGTGCTCATTTTGTCATACGTATGTAAGAGCTTTGTTGAATGTACTAACATTTTCACCCATGATTATTATTATTGTTATTATTGTGTTGTTCTCCCGAAATCTCAACTTTAGCTGGATAGTCTCCCGTATTATGGGACTCCAGTACCTTACCTATCATTATTATTATTGTTGTTGTTCCTCCGAAATCTCAACTATAGCTGGATTGCCTCCCGTATGGGACTCCAGTACCTTCCCTATTATTATTGTTATTATTATTATTGTTGTTGTTGCTATTATTGTTACTAAAACCTCTTCAGTTTTACTTGGAAGTGTGTTTGTCAGACTTGAGTGAGATGACATTTAGTGAGAAATTAAATAAGTCCAGTTTTAATTATCATTAGCAAAGGTTCTTAATGTATGCCTTTGGTTAGCGGTTGTTTTGTATTTATATTTGGGTGGTAAGAGCAACGATCGTGGGTTTCTCTGCCATGCTCTTTCCCCGCAGGAGCTCTAGGTGAGCCTGGCACTCTCATTTTATGTTAAATGGTTGTTAATGTTTTTGTTGTTCTTTCTATTTGTCACATGTTTAATTTGAATTGTATGTAAATAAAGGTTAGGTGTATTTACTCTGCTTTTGTTTTATATAATTAAACCATACATCCCCTCTACAAAGTTAGTAGCCAGCGCCTTCCGGTCAATTAAAAATAGATACACACAACGTAGGGAGTCCTTATGACGATCACATATTTTTGGCCACAACTACGTTTACTTATTTTTTGTCGAAACTGGGGTTGTTCCAGGAATCAAAAAATTTGTTAGTATCGCCACGCCATCTGTACAGAAAGATTTGAACTAACAATTCTAACTGCAATTTGAAGCTATTCGAGGGACCTAACAACCCGTTTCCGGAACTAAAATAAATTTCTTCATTTCGGAGATATTGGCAGCGGGAGTGTTAAATAACACACCTTGTATTTAAGCGTAGATTTGGTGCCTAATTGCAGAACTACAGGTGGTTTGATATCTTTCTTCCATTGAAAGTATCACAATCACATTAAAATTTGTCGTGTTTCATCACACAATAACTTTCTATAAAGAAAGTTACTACGAACTGCACAAGTAATTTTGTTAATAATTTTTCTTATTCATATAGTAAGAACTGTAAAAAATATGTACTTAGAACTTATTACATGTAGATTTGGTACCTAATTGCAGAACTACAGGTTGTTTGATATCTTTCTTCTATTGAAAGTATCACAATCACATTAAAATTTGTCGTGCTTCATCACACAATAACTTTCTATAAAGAAAGTTACTACGAAGTGCACAAGTAATTTCGTTAATATTTTTTCTTATTCGAATACTAAGAACTGTAAAAAATATGTACTTAGAACTTATTACATGTAGATTTGGTACCTAATTGCAGAACTACAGATGGTTTGATATCTTTCTTCCATTGAAAGTATCACAATCACATTAAAATTGTCGTGCTTCATCACACAATAATATTCTATAAAGAAAGTTACTACGAACTGCACAAGTAATTTCGTTAATAATTTTTCTTATTCGAGTAATTGCATTGTTATAGACTTGTGACGTGCTAGAGCTAGATTATAAACATCTTACTATAGACAACTTCTTATTTGTGTAAGCCCTCTCTGTCCCTCTATTACTAAATAAAGAACAACAGTGGTTTGACATTTTTGTTGAGCTTCCTATTAACAGATGGCGCAATTAAGGTATTAAGCATATTATATCTATAAGTTTCTATATAAAATGTATAAACATAAATTATCTACTTTTAAAATCAATAAATAGTATAACTACTTTGTTCATGTTTTATCGGAATTTATTAAAATAATATCAAAGTGGGAAAATTAATATTAAGTAATTTTGTCATGACTTATTATGTTGCTCCACAAAAAACTACGTAAGTTAAATCTTTTCCGGAAATACTTTGAAAAATAATATAAATAAATAAATTATAATAAGGCTTAGTGCGGCGCGGAGTTATACAGGACCGTAGTCAGATTACGAATGAAAATATTAACATGTTTACAGAAAATATGTCGCAACATAGTACTATTACCAAAGAGCAAAGCTAAATAGAGGATAAAATACGTATATAAATTTAAATGACACCACTTATCCGATGAACCTTAGTGTTGAGACAAGGCTTCCGTGGCATATTGGAAGGAGTTAAAACATATTACTACCTGCTTTTCTAAGTTTTCTTTAGTGAAACGGCGACGTTTATCACTTAATATTAACTTGTATAGGGAAAATGACCGTTCAACGTCTACTGTTGACAACGGACAGTATGAGAAATTGTTGAGGCATGAACTATATATTAATATATTTGCTGGCATGTACCAGATAAAACTATGTTTTCCAAAATGGTGTATCCAGGATTTTTTTCCAACACTCTTTGCATGTTTCCTTTTATCGTACTACTGACTGGGGGTATATTATTGGCATCGTATGTATTTTTTTGTACATCATCCATTTCCATTATATCAATTTGTTTATTTAGGGATAGTCCACGTGATTCCAATTTACGGAATTACGGAACTTGGGGTTCTCTAATTTGTTTAATGGAATATTGCTCGAAAGAAAGGCGCCTGTAAGTTCATAGAAAAATAGAGAGTTTTCAAAGCTGGAAGAGGCGTGTCTCTTCAAATGTCTTGTCACTTTAGGTTTGTAACTAGAATTTATAATGCGTTCACACACAGTACAAAGCAGGTCATTTCCTTTAACACGTATGTCCAAAACCTTCGGGATTACTGTCAAACCACATTTGAAATAATTCCCGTCTTTTGGCGTTTTACTTCACTTTTCCCCCCAACTAACAGTTGTTATGTTACTATTTATAAATAGTTATTTAAATACACACAGCAAATACAATTTACAGCAGACGTACAAAGAAAGGTATCGATGCGACCCAACTACTACAAAAAGAAAGGTTCCGTAAACAACTGAACAGTTCAAAACGCGAGTGAGCTGTGTAGGCCACCGACTCTCGCGCCGGCTCTGTTAAACCCTGCACGTCCACTAAGCCTAATTATAATATAATAATAAAATAATACAAAAATGGGAAACGACCCCACTGGCCTTTGAATATTTACA